ACTAATACCAACCTCGACAGAATCGGAGGAGCGGGGGATATACGAGGGTACCGACTACGGAGGCCCCAGATCGTTCATAGCCCCCGATGACTCCGACGCTACAAAATCAATGGTCGAGGAACTGGAGCAAGTCATACTGAGTGAACACTTGCCCGATGGAAAGGTATACCTGGGCACGGGGTTAAATCCCGAGCTCAGGAAAAAGCTCATTCAATTTCTTATAACTAACAAAGATTGTTTTGCCTGGTCCCACCTCGATATGATAGGGATACCGCTGGAAATAACCACTTAGAAGCTGAGCTTAGATCCGAGGTTCCACCCGGTCAAGCAGAAAAGGAGGCCCCAGTCTGAGGTCAAACATGCTTTCATCAAAGATGAGGTATCTAAACTCCTTAAAATAGGGTATGTTTGGGAAGTTAAATACCTGAATTGGTTAGCAATTAGTGGTAGTTCCTAAAAAAGGGGGTAAATTAAGAATGTGTGTAGACTATAAGGATCTGAATAAAGCATGCCCCAATGACTCCTTCCCTCTGCCAAACATCGATCGCATGATCGATGCCACGGCCGGTCACGAGATCCTCAGTTTTCTCAACGACTTCTCCGGATACAACCAAATACGGATGAACCCCGATGATCAGGAAAAAACCTCTTGTATCACTAAATACTGCACATACTGCTATAACATAATACCATTCGGATTAAATAACGCCGGTGCCACTTACCAACGCCTAGTAAACCGAATGTTCGAAGAACAAATAGGAAAATCAATGGATGTTTGCATTGACGATATGTTGGTTAAGTCCATGCGAGCAGAGAACCATTTAAAACACTTATCTGTGCTATTTCCCGATCATAGCTGTACTATATTAGATTAGTTATCCGTCTCCCCTACCCTGTTAGAACGCAGGAAACCTTCAACGTATTAAAGAAATACAACATGAAGTTGAACCCAAAAAAGTGTGCGTTCGGAGTTGGATCGGGTAAATTCCTCGGATTCATGGTATCCAACTGAGAAATCGATATCAACCCTGATAAGATCAAATCCATCAAGGATATCACGGTCATAGATAACGTAAAGGTTGTGCAAAGGCTAACCGAACGCATAGCTGCTCTGGGGCGATTCATCTCGAGGTCCTCCAATAAGAGTCACTGATTCTTCTTATTATTGAAGAAAAAGAGTAACTTCTCATGGACTCCGGAATTCCAACGGGCCTTGGAAGAGCTCAAACGATATCTATCGAGCCCACCGATGCTCCACACGCCAAAGATAGACGAACAGTTGTACCTTTACTTGGCGATCTCGAAAATAGCGGTAAGTGGAGTCCTGGTACGGGAACAAAAATGTACGCAATTAATATTTACTATGTTAGCAGAACTTTAGGTGAGGCCAAAACTAGAAACCCTCACCTAGAAAAATTGGTGATTGCCTTGATAAGCGCCTCTAGGAAGTTGAAATCGTATTTTCAATGTCACCCCATATGTGTTGTGACTACTTACCCATTGAGTAATATAATGCATAAACCCGAACTCTCGGGAAGATTGGCCAAATAGGTCATTGAGGTCAGCGGGTACGATATTGAGTATCGGCCCCGAACCGCCATTAAATCTCAAATTTTGGCAGACTTTGTGGTCGATTTTATGCCGACGCTAATACCCGAAGTCGAAAGAGAATTATTATTAAACTTGGAGACCCCTTCGGGAATCTAGACCATCTTTACAGACGATGCCTCAAACACGAAACCAGACTTGGCATCATGCTAAAGCCACCAAAGGGCAGTATAGTTAGACAATCTATTAAAATTATAAAATTTACTAACAACGAGGCCGAATATGAGGCCATGATTGTAGGTATCGAACTAGCCAAAAGCTTGGGGGCATCAAGGAGAGGCTAAGTGTGATTTCCTCCTTGTGGTAAACCAGGTTAATGGGATGTTCGAGGTAAGAGAAGAACGAATGCAAGATACCTAGATAAATTATAGGTAACATTACACCGATTCAAGGAATGAACTCTATAACATGTGACTCGTGATCAAAACAATGAGGCTGATGCCCTCGCTAATTTGGGGTCTTCGGTAAAAGACAATGAGCTCAATTCAGGGGAAGTAATACAACTAATGAGATCAGTAGTCGAAAAGGGCCATGCCGAAATAAACTCAATGAGCCTAACATAGGATTGGAGAAACAAATACATAGAATACCTAAAAATCGGAAAATTGCCCTCATATCCAAAGGCAGCACGGTTTAGTTTGTCTGAGAATGGAACCTTAGTCAGAAGAACGTTTGATAGCCCGATCGCGATATGTTTAGGACCAGGAGATACCGAGTATGTTCTAAGGGAAATTCACGAAGGCACATGCGGAAATCAACAGGTACCGAAGCATTGGTCCGTAAAATAATTAGGACTGGTTACTACTGGATCGACATCGAAAAAGATGCGAAGGAATTCGTGCAAATATGTGATGAATTCCAAAGGCATGCTCCAATGATTCATCGAGCCGGAGAGCTGCTACATTCGGTCTTGTCACTATGGCCATTCATGAAATGGGGCATGGACATCATTGGCCCCCTTCTACGGGCCCCCGGTAAAGCTCAATTTATTTTATTTATGACTGACTATTTTTCTAAATGGGTGGAAGCACATGCATGTGAGAAGGTCAGAGAAAAAGAAGTCTTCGATTTTATCTGGGACCACATCATATGTCGGTTTGGAATATCAACCGAGATCGTGTGCGACAACAGAAAATAGTTTATTGGCAGCAAAGTAAGCAAGTTTCTCGAAGACCATAAGATCAAAAGGATCTTATCCACTCCCTACCACCCTAGTAGGAACGGACAAGCAGAATCCACCAATAAAATCATAATCCAAAACCTCAAAAAGAGGTTGATCGACACCAAAGTAAAATGGAAGGAAATCCTGCTAGAAGTCCTTTAGGCATATTGTACAACTTTGAAGTCTAGTACCGGGGCCACCCCATTCTCGCTGATTTACGTTGCCGAAGCTCTGATGTCGGTCGAAGTCGGAGAACCGAGTCTCAGGTTTCGATATGCTACTGAAGAAACAAACAACGAGATCCTGAACACAAGTCTAGAACTACTAGATGAGAGACGTGATGCCGCCCTTATTTGAATAGTAGCCCAGAAACGACGAATCGAGAGATATTATAATCGAAGAGCCAACCTTCGACACTTCAATGTCGGGGACTTAGTATTAAGGAAGATCGCGTTAAACACTCGGAATCCGAACAAAGGAAAAATGGGACCGAACTGGGAAGGTCCGTATCAGGTTATTGAGATCACCGGAAAAAGGTCATACAAACTCGGAACAATGAACGGTGAATAATTACCGAACAACTGGAACATAACCTACTTGAAACGATATTACTGCTAAGGTATGGCCCCAATCACTTTCTTTTACTCAACTACATTTTTTACTAACACTTGCAGGTACCTTACACAATATTTTAGGCATGAAAGCACGCCTTGTACTCTTTTTCCCTTGATCTGATTTTATCCCAAAAGGATTTTCCGGCAAGGTTTTTAACGAGGCAACAATGAAATTGTGCTAACTTAGAATCAAAGTCAAGAGTATTCGAGGCTTATCTACGACAAACCCTGAACACTAAGGGGCATAATCCGGGGGGAATGATTTTTGATTCTTGTGCTTGAACAATCGAGGCTCGCTCAATAATAAGATTTTCTGTAGAGGTCAAACGGTCGATTGAACCATGCCCACATAGATCACCCGAGCCCAGACACAAAATATAAGTTTAACTTTGTAAACTACGCACAAAATTGAAAGGAAGTCTATGCCTTTTGAATAAAAATTCATGTCCTCTCAAAGATATTTTTGTTTGGTTCCCCAAAGACATCGAGCCCAAGAGCCACTTTCACTCGGGGCTGCCACTTAGGCATTGCCCAAATTAAAAGGCCAAGGCCATTCCCGGATTAACAAAACCCGAGGGCACAAAAGCTTATTTTGCGTTACCCAAATTAAAAGGCCAAGGCCATTCCCGGGTTAACAAAACCCGAGGGCATAAAAGCTTATTTGGCATTGCCCGAATTAAAAGGCTAAGGCCATTCCCAGGTTAACAAAACCCGAGGGCACAAAATATTATTTGGCATTGTCCGAATTAAAAGGTTAAGGCCATTCCCGGGCTAACAAAACCCGAAGGCACAAAAGCTTATTTGGCATTGCCCGAATTAAAAGGCTAAGGCCATTCCCAGGTTAACAAAACCCGAGGGCACAAAATATTATTTGGCATTGTCCGAATTAAAAGGTTAAGGCCATTCCCGGGTTAACAAAACCCGAGGGCACAAAGCATATTTGGCATCGCCAGAATTAGAAGGCTAAGGCCGTTCCGGGTTAACAAAACCCGAGGGCACGAAGCTTATTTGGCATTGCCCGAATTAAAAGGATAAGGCCATTCTCGGGTTAACAAAACCCAATGGCACAAAAGCTTATTTGGCATCGCCCGAATTAAAAGGCTAAGGCCATTCCCGGGTTAACAAAACCTGAGGGCACAAAAGCTTATTTGGCATCGCCCGAATTAAAAGGCTAAGGCCATTCCCGGGTTAACAAAACCTGAGGGCACAAAAGCTTATTTGGTATTGCCCAAATTAAAAGTCTAAGGTCATTCCGAGTTAACAAAACCCGAGGGCACAAAGCTTATTTGGCATCGCCCAAACTAAAAGGTTAAGGCCGTTTCCGGGTTAACAAAGCCCGAAGTTTCAAAAGCTTATGAAAACCTGAGCAAAACACACTTTCGGCAAGTCATATTCTAAAAAGTATAAGTGTTTTAGGGAAAACTTCCCGGACATGCCGGATTCCACGACGCCTTAGAGATTGATTCTATCAAAGGCAAAAGCATGTTCGGAATTCCAAACAAGACTAACTAATGCTAAGGCATTTCAATCTTTGAAAAACATAAAAAGAAAAGCAAAGGAAGAGGTCGAGAATTATTAAAAAGAAATGGAAAATTTGTATTTATGAAATATTGTCTTTACAAAGGCAGAACGGCCTCAACAGAAAGTACTAAATACAGAAAGAAAAAAGACAAAATCAGAGAGAGGCACTTAAGCGGCTTGATCTTGGCCGGAGCCCGCCTCATCACCGGGATTCCCGGGGTCTTCTCCACCTTTGGCCTACTTGAGTCCTCGGAATCTTCCTCCTTGGGAAAGGCCAGCTTTCTGGTCTCGGCTTCGAACACCTTGGCATTCTCGATTTCAGCCGATAAATCAAAGCCTCGAGCGTGGATTTCCTCAAGGGCCTGCCTTCGGGATTGCCACTTCATATGCTCGGCTATATTTTTTGATTGATCTTGATCCGCTTCGGCATCGGCCTTATACTGGGCCACCATTTCATCAGCTTCGGCCTTGACCATGGCGACCTCCGACTTGGTCATTTTTATCTCCTTGGCAAAATTATCTCGATCTAAGAAGGCTGAACCTGGCCGAGATTGGAGCTCCTCAACCTTTTTTGTTTGAACCTCGACCCTTTCCTTTGCCGCTCTTAACTAGATTTCGGCCAAAGTTAATTATGCCCGAGCAGCCTCTTTCTCCGAGGCCAAACGATCCATTTTGCCTCTCCATTCATCGGTCTCGGCTTTGACCATATCCATTTTGGCTCGGAGCTAATCAATCCGATCGAATTTTTACTGGACCTGCGGATTTTGACCATCAGTCACCGAATAAAATTCATCATCACTTACTTCGAAAACTTTTACCAGCTCGACCAAGTCAGCATGATCTTTTCGGGCAACTTCCAGCTCGGCACGGAGGTTCTTGGCCTCCCCTTCGAGCTGCTCATTAAGAAGGTTAGAGGCGTCCCTCTTCTCAGTAAGCTCTCGAACTTCGGCTTCGAGTTGTTTCAGGTCATCTCGGTAACTCAAAAAAGCCTCGTGGTGAAAAATCGAAGCCTATGAATAAGAAAAGAAATGCTAAGTCAATAACAAAAAAAATCTAAGTGTAAATCAAAATTTCACTTAGGAAAGCATGAAGTTACCCGGTTCAACACCTGTTGTGATTCGTTGAAAAGACAAGGTGCAGCCACCTCATTCATCTTAGCTTGATCATCCTCGGTCACCAGGCATCGAAGATAGCTGGCCACCCCCACGGGGAGGGGGGAAGAATCCGGGCATCCTCTAGAAGGGAAAAAACAATGGTACATTTTCGATCGGGGTATGCACTCGGGGCAGGAAATTTACCTACCAGTCTTTGGTTCGAAGAGGGCCCGCTTGCTTTCGGGGATTGGCTTTTCCTTGGTATATCTAAATCCCCCAACCCGGTAGCATTTTTTGTGGCCGTCGAGTCCACACCATCGAAGATACCACGGAAAGGGTCATTCGTTCCATGAGTCCCTCGGCAAGGCATTCTTTAGCAGTTTGCGCCTCGATAAACATCGATTTCATGAATGAAGGCGACTTGGCAATCTCTATTACGCCCAGTTCTTCCTTCGAAGCATTTCCCGCAGCTTGTGAGGCTTCGACCCCGGCCGCATCGGTTTCTCTAAATTGTTGAGGGTCAGCCTCACCCCCCCTCCAGCTCGGAAGCTCCTTGCCCTTCGAGCTGAGGCAGTACGCTGTCCGTCAGGTCATAGGACCCTCCTTCCCCATCAGACTCATATCTCAATCGATGGAGTGAATCCGGAGGCGGTGCTCGAGCATTTTTGCACCAATCGTCTCTTCGGTTTGTCCTTCTCGGGGTCCGGAGAACTCGAAGTTTTTTTTCTTTTCTTCTCTTTATCCTGCTTCGAAGCAGGGGGCTCGGTGAAGACATCATCGTCACTAGATGGAGATCTCATTTCAACATCTTTTGGAAAACCTGCAAAAAGAAAATAAAACAAGTTAGAAATCAACAGTTGAAAGTGAAGTCAAATGTAACTTAGAAGAAAAATCTCACCGTGAGAACGGGCCTCCCATCGGCCTTTCGAAAGCTCACGCCATGAGCGCTCGGAGTATGATATTTGTGTTGCGATACCCTAGACCCACTCCTTGAGTCGAGGTACTGCTTCCGGAATCCGAGAAACAGTTGCACCGCCACAAGGCACCAATGAAAAAAGAAAAAGAAGGGAAAAATGATGGGCAAAATCTTGAAACTAATATTGTACTTACGTGACATGTTCCACTTCTCAGGAAATGGCATGTACTCGACATGGATTAAATCCAAGGTCTTCACTCGAGCGAATTGGCCTAACCAGCCTCGGTTTTGATCTTCATCGATGCTCGAGAATGGGGCCTTACTGGCCCGACGTGCAAGCTTGATTAATCCCCCCCGATAAAGTCGGGGACTATACAAACACATTAGATGATCTATGGTGAAAAGACAACTTTCGATCTTGCTCACGAAGAAGCGGAGGAGTATTACTATCCTCCAAAACGAGGGATGAATTTGACCGGGGGTCATCTCGTACCTCTTACAGAAGGCGATGATGGCCGGGTCCAAGGGGCCCAACGTGAAGGGATAAGTGTAAACACTCAAAAAACCCTCCACGTGGGTGGTAATGACTTCCTCGGGCTTGGGTACTACCACGTGCTTGTCAGCCCAGTTATAATCTTCTTTGACCTTGGAGAGAACGTCCTCTGTGATCGAGCAGATATATCTCGAGACCGGCTCACACCGACCCAGTACCAAGGAAGTTTTCTCGACCTTAAAATCAGCACCGGTTGGGTACCCCGTAGGTACGAACATTTTCAGAGGGGGTTCCAGTGTCGGTTCCTCAACAGCAACAGACGAAACATTTTACTCAACAGATGGTCGTGAGGAAGAGGGGTTTTCTTTTTGGGGAACGGATTTTGAAGTCTTCGCCATTACTTTTAAATTGAAAAAAAAATGAAGGAAGGAAGGTGTAGATTAAGGACAAAGAGTGATTAGCAAATAAAAACTCTTGTAGAAAATCTCAAAAAAACAGAATTAGAGAACTTAAAGGTGTTCAAATCCCTGAAATACGAGGGCAGAAGGTTAGATGTAAAGTTTGAATGAACAAAGGAGGAAGTATTTATAGTTTCCAAATGACGGTTCGCATCTAGGAGTGGCCGACCGACGACTGACAAGCATTTAATGCCTTGAAAACTGGACCGACAGGACGTTTCAACTATTCTTATCACTTACATTAGGATTTCGTCGTCATAATTTATCGAAGTGAGAATCGGAAGCTCGCATCGTTTCTCATCATTTACTCTCCGAAAAATAAGGGGATTTTACGTCATGATTTTGTCACTTACGTCATGATATATCGAAGTGAGAATCCGAGGCTCATATCGTTTCTCGTCATCTACTCTCCGAAAAAACGAGGGAACTATCTGTATACGGGTAAAATCGGGCTAGATGTTCGTTCGAGCTTCCAACCTCCCTAATTAAGGCCAGGGCCGAAATATCCGTAATAGGGTAAAAGTCGAGCTCGAAGTTCAATCTTACGTCCAACACAATCAGCCAAGATCGAAATATGATAATTAAGATCTGACCCAAAGCATTGCTAAAATTAGTCATCAACACCACCAGATTTGCCCTCGAGTTTACCGAAGTCATAATCGGTCCCGGTCATAACGGTCTCAAGGAATATATTGGCAGCTTATCTGAAATTCCCGCAATTAACCGGATATTACGGCGAAAATCACGGAATATACCAAAAAAAGGAACCAACGGTCAACAAATCAAGGACCCTTTTACCTTTTATGAAATAATAGAATAATACCTAAAAAGTAGGTTGCTCTAATATATATAAAGGGGGCCTCACAATTCATGAATACATTGTAACATACACTGATAAACAATACATTCTCTAAGTTCTTACTCTTTGGTATCTTTGTGTCAATAAAAGTGCATTCAACTCAAGGGCGGCTTGCTTTCCTAAGCTGCAATCATTCAATTCACGTGGTTTGCAATTAATTTATCGTTATTTATTTCAATTACAATCTAATTTATCGCTATGTATCAAGCTAATCCGCATATCATTTAAACTATTAATAAATTCAATTGTTATCCGATTTTGAGGGTAAACACAATAACAAACATGGAACAAGAAAGACTTAATCACAGCTTACTAGGATTCGAGCTCATGTATTGCAATTCGAGTTGTCGCTTCTTGACAATGAGTTCTCTCACTAGGAATTTTATCTCACCTTTTTTCAGGTGTGCTTGGAAGTATTTGACTAATGTCATATTATGGTTTTACATTGTAGCATTAACATTAAACTAATTAAGGTTAAAAATGCACTCTTTTTTTCAAGTATATACTATGGTGGATTATTTGAATATCCATTTTATATATGGGAAAAAGAAACAAGAGAAATAAAGAAAATTACGACCAGTCAAACCAATGATGAATGCAGCTTTTATGTTGCTGATTTAATTGAATCGAGTATTTTCAACAAAGATTAAATATGTATGTGAATAAATATTAAATTTGAACTCTCGCCTTCAAAAAGTGTGATTTAAAAAAATAAATAAAATTAGAACAAATTTTGAATAAGTTCTAGGAGTGGGAGAAATGGTAAGAAAATTTTAAACTAGAACAAAAGCGTGAAGGTGTAGGCTATAATTTTGGAGGGACACAATCATTGGATTTCCATGTAAATTCTCAATGAAACTTGTTAAATCTTAACCCTACTGCCTAAAAAATATTTCAAAACGAAAAGCAGCCATAGCTCAGAACATTCTGGTGGGGAAAAAGTTAAGATAATTTGGTCCCCAGAGTAAAAAAAAAAAACAACAACAACAACAATAACAACCCAGTATAATTCTATTAGTAGGGTATGGGAAGAATAGTGTGTACGCAGACCTTACCCCTACCCTGGGGTAGAGAGGTTATTTCCAATAGACCCTCGGCATCCTTCCCTCCAAGAACCCCTACCTTGCTCTTGGGATGACTCGAACTCACAATCTCTTGATTGAAAGTGGACGATACTTCCTTGGAGCAACCCACTTTGTCCCCAAAGTAAAAAAGAGAAGGTAAAATCCTTTGTTCCTTGTTTTAACTTTGGTTTCACGCACCTCGAGAAGATGCATTTGTCTTAAGGGCCCACCCCAAAATTGAAGCCCACAATGCTCTTCGTATTATTGACCCATTAATTATGGTGATGTAGCTCTGACCCCTACCAAGTTAATCCAGCTGGTTTGCTCTTGTTTCCCTTTGCTTTTAAAGCAAAATAATTACCCCACATTGAGTATTAGATTTATATAATAGTGTGATTATATACGAAATTTAATATTAAATAAATTATAAATCATCTCATTATAATAAAATAATAAAATAAAATTATTATACTAAATATTAAAAGGTTACTACTTTTCTTACATTGCAAAAAATGTAGAGCGAGTATAATTTTGCAAAAAAGGTTTTTTTTTTTCTTTCATGTAGATACCACTTGCTCTGTTGATGTGTGCATCTCGTGCGAAAAGACTCTGATTAGACAAAAAGTATTTTGTGGACCATAAGAAAGAAAACAAATACGGCAGAGTTTTGATGTAAAAAGTAGAAATATGTCAAAAAAACATTTTTACTGAGTTAAGATACGAATGACACTATCTCGAAATTGTTAAGCCCTTTAGCGAGCGTGACAGTAGAAAAGTTAATTATCGTTTGGGACTCCTATTAAACATAGCTTGTATTTACAAAATGGGACAACTGATGGCACCATAATTACATGAAGTGCCACTGATTCACTTTTAGGGCTCCCTCCATAAGTAGTAGTAGTAGCAAGTAGTAAGCACTACTTCCCCATTCTCTTTCTATTTTACAGAAATGGTGTTTTTGAATGTGGCCTTTATTGCTTGTGTTTTTTCATTAATGTTAGTAGTAGCAGTTGAAAGCAGAATCCCAGGTGTTTATAGTGGTGGAGCATGGCAGAGTGCGCATGCTACTTTCTATGGCGGCAGTGATGCCTCTGGTACTATGGGTACGTCACCATTTTCAGGGGTTTTCTTGCTCCATTTCTATTCTGTTTTTGCTCTCATTGTCATTGTTTAAATTTAAGACTAATTTTGTGATTTACACAGGTGGGGCGTGTGGGTACGGTAATCTATACAGTCAAGGGTACGGAGTGAACAATGGAGCGTTGAGCACAGCGCTATTCAACAATGGCTTAAGCTGTGGAGCTTGCTTTGAGATCAAGTGTGACAAGGACCCACAATGGTGCCATTCCGGTAGTCCTTCCATCTTCATTACTGCTACCAATTTCTGCCCTCCCAACTTTGCACTACCCAATGACAATGGCGGATGGTGTAATCCTCCTCGCTCTCATTTTGACCTCGCCATGCCTATGTTCCTTAAGATTGCTGAGTACCGTGCCGGAATTGTCCCCGTCGTTTACCGCCGGTATGTATTTTGTGCTTTTCCTCTTTCTTTTGGTGCCTTGGGTTTGTCCTTCTCCTTCTCGTGGGGTTATCTTTATGTGTTTGGTTTTTAATTTATTGCTTTTGTCAGATTTTCTCTTCTTTCATAGTACCGGTAGAAGGAAAATAACCTGTCACAACGTACATTGGCGGGCATGCTTTCTTCTTTTTACACTATTTTTAGTTTGTACAGTATTATTACATGTTTTTTTTTTGACTCAAAGTTTTGTTACACAGAGTTGAACTCTCTGTTTATTTCTCAATTAACTTATTAACTGGTTAAATGGTAAAGGTGATATTAAGAAAATCAAACGAAGCACAGTATTCCACAAGAATGTCAAACATCAAACCGTAGGTAGTGGAGCACAGTCTTCTATAGCCACCTAATCCTTGCCGTACTGCGTCCTCATATTTAATTTACTCTCTACGTAGCACATTAACAAATCTGTCCACATGTTTGTTTCTCAAATGACCAAACTAACCTGAGGTTTTTAAATTTATTTACGCAGGGTGCCATGCAGGAAGAAAGGTGGAATAAGGTTCACAATTAACGGCTTCCGTTACTTCAACTTGGTTTTGGTTACCAACGTCGCGGGTGCAGGGGATATCGTGAGGGTTTACGTAAAAGGTTCAAAGACTAATTGGATAACAATGAGCCGTAATTGGGGTCAAAATTATCAAACAAATTCGGTTTTGATTGGTCAGTCACTTTCATTTAGGGTCACAGCCAGTGATAGACGCAGCTCCACTTCATGGAATATTGCTCCAGCTCATTGGCAATTTGGTCAAACTTTCAGTGGGAAGAATTTCAGAGTTTAACAAGAAAAAGTAGCTAAATTCAAGACTTTTTATTATTATGTTTCTGTTTGTTTGACTATTGTGGTTAACGGGGTTTTGGGGGGATTGTAAAAGTCTTTAAAAAACATTGCTTTTTTGGAGTTGGGATTAGGGAAAAGTATGGTCTTCTTATTGTGGGGTTATTTGTTTTTTTACTTTTTCTTTTTGGTTGTGGTGGTGAAGGAAAAGGGTTGATGAGTTTTGTGGAGAAATTAGGGATTTGAGAAGGGATGAATTGTAGATGACATGAGAAGAGCTGAGGCGGCTGCAAAAACATGTAGCCCGCAGCTACTAGTTGGACTATATATTATTAACTGTATTTGTGGTTTAATTGAAAATATGTATGTTGTTTTAGGTATCTTACGTGTTACATATATAGTAGCTGGTGTACCTAAATCGACAATTTGGACTTTGACGATACTAGTAATTCGGTATTAGTTTAAATAATTGATGTGTACAAATTGGCTTGGGATATTACTATTATTATCATTTAGAAATGCTAAACTATTAAGAGGAATTTCATGGACGAAAGCTTAGGCCATTAAAGGACTTCTCTTTGCAAGTTTTGTTCAACGCTATATTTATTCAATGAAGGGTTCCAATTCTATGCCTTTCTTTTTGGTGGGAGTTCCCATATCAACTCCTTGTATAATGTTGTCCCCTCTTCATTTTCTTATGATACAAAAACCAATTAGATTCTTTAATTCATTGGCTCCGGCATCCCTTGCCGTGTATATCTTCGAACGCAGTTACAAGATAGGCAAGCACATCTCAGCATATCTGTTATACCATATAGATTATAGGACTATTGGAAGGAGGAGCCCAATTACATCGTTAACTTCATACCTTTGGAATAAACCAAGCTCAACAAAAACTCTTTGCGTATTTCTATTTGTCTTTTATCAAAGGAAGTAGAAAGCACAATTTCATGGGAATTTTACAAAAGGTTATTTCAATTCAAGGCACAAGAAGTGCGTTTGAGTAACTGAATAGAAAGTTGGGCATTCCTTGGGGTCATCATTTGGTCTCATTCTTCGGTTATTCCCCAAGTCTAACAGCACAATAATATGTCTTTACTCCCCAAGTATCACATGATTATCAAGTTAATCAACAAAATCATTTACCCAACCAATAACACAAATGCCTTTGTTTGCCTGGATAGACAAATACCTAATAACAAACAAAAGTAAATATAAACAAAGGGAAAAAGCAAATTGTGGTATAAAAAGTGTTTTGAAAGAAGGAAGATCAGGCAACATTCGTCAGTTTGAGAAGAATAACATAGAAGAGAGAGGATATAATGGGTCGTTAATAAAGAGAATGACGGAGCTGCTGCAAAATTACAGAGTGCTCCTCTGTAAATCAACTTTGTACAGTAAACTATCCAATGACTTAATCCATATATTTCTAGCTGTTTCTGGTCAGAATTTACAAAACAGTTGAAGCTGCTATGTATCAAATGACAAAATGAAACAGCAGACAAAGAACAAGCTGTCTCATCTAAAATTTTCACAAAAAATATAGAGCTAAATGAAGGGATGGGTAATAAAACTAAGTTGTTGCAGACTTTGAGAATTCCTGCTAATGGTTAAGCTGGCCTACTAGAATTTATCATGCGACCATCATAATATTTCTACTTCTTTCCTCTCAAAGTTCAGTCAAATGCTTCATCTTGTTTTCCTCTTATACAGCTTCCACTGTTTCAATATGTACTCAGCTCCTTCTGTCAATGATGCAGTTCTTTTTTCCTTATTATTCCACAACTGAGGTACTGGGTACCTACCACTGGGGTTATGCTCATTCAACTCATTTAAGGCAGTTACCACAGCTTGATACACTTCTTCACCATACTCAGTCTTTAGATCCTTCAACTTCTCATCATCTTCATCAATTACTTCCTGAGAAATCAAAAATTAAATAAAATTTACATTGAAAATATAAAACCAAAAAAGAATACAGATAACAATATATGAAAGAGTGCATACCTCAACATTTTGACCCTTTTGGATAACCTTATACGGATGCCAATTTGGATCCCTCAGGTGATCCTCCCACAAGGAACATAGTTCCATTGCTTTCTCTGCTGCTTCTTCCGAGTTGTAAATTTTTCTTGCAGCAGCATGGAATGGTTTCTCATTAAGTTCCCCCATTCTCTTGACACAGATAAAAGCACAGCTCTCCTTTAAACCCTGTGACAAAATAAATCAAGCACTAATTATCTAGAGCAAAGGGAAAGAACATGACGATTGCTCATAGAATTGCTGTTCCTACTGTATTGGTTGGCAGAATGAGATTGGAATCATCTTCATGTTAAGAAGATACTTTTATAAACATTAGAATAATTGTACTGTGGCATGTTTGTAGGTCTACAATTCGTTTCCTTTGTTCTAGATATACGGCAATGTAAATGTAAAGCTACAACAGCTTGCAGCTATTCCTGCAGATTGTCTTCAGATGCCAATTTAATGCATGAGCCATATTGCAGATATCAGACTCATTTGCACTTCCTTGCAGTAATATCAAGCTTGAGCTGATTATGAATGAGAATCTCCAAGAAACAAACACGACCATATTAAGAGAGAACGTCATGAAGAATGGTAAAAACTAAAAGAAATAAATACACTTAACAATAACCAAGCAAGAAGTATGATAAATTCAAAAGTCAAAAAAACATGTTAATGAGAAATCATGTATGTATAAAACTAGATCGAAAAGGCAAGGACATACTTGAAAAAAAAGCACAATTTTAGGAGTAAAACAAATTGTCAATCAAGTTTACCATCTTCAAAAGGTTCCTCTGTAGTGCATATCTCCAGAATTTTATAGAGATAGTTTTAAACTTTTAGCTGCTACAAACTTGTAAATAACATTGGCATATAATATAGGTGTGCATACTGTTACAAGCAGAGGAACCGGGCAGATGTAAAAATGTTATGGAACTATCCATTTCTCCTTTTTTTTTTCTTTCTTTTTAACAATGATGAGCATTTCTTCAAACTGATTGAATGTAGTTCAAGATTGAATCCCAATGAAAGCTAATTAAAGATCAATTAGAATGGAAGAAAATGATGTGAGTGCCTGTAACTACAAGCCACCCTTATTCTTCACTACTTTAACTTCAAATTCATCTGTTCATTTTACAAAAAGTATACTTCCTAAAAAAGGCAATGTATGGTGAACTCGAATTATTTGGAAATCAATTTGTCACATTTAAACTCCTTAGTAAATACGGAGTAGAAGGATTTGCTGCTCATGAAGGTGAATAAAAATGCTCGTTACTTTAGTGGACAAATATAAAGTAACCAAAACCTTTATAAAACATAATAGTATATGTTTAGCTCCAATCATAATCACATTGCTTCATTAGAAAAAAAAATTACGAGGATGAATTAAAAATGTACGAATGCTCACATTGATAAGCTCTTTACGGGCTTCTTGCACCTCGTCATTTGTAAGTCTTTCCTTTATAATTAGAGTTTGATTCAGTGTTTCCAAGCTTTCAAGTTCTTCTTCACTCTCCTTGATTTCTTCTTGAATTGACTCCAGTTTCTTCTTTGCTTCGAGATCTCCTTCCACATTCATGTGTCTCATCACTTCCGTGGCACCTCGCAAGCGCTCAATCTGCAACTCCAGTGCTTGCTTCTGATCAAGTTTTGCTTGAAGTTCAATTATTCTTTTATGAAGTTGTTCCTTTTCTTTCTGCAAGTAAAAGCCCAAAGTCAATAGCTAAAAAGCTATGAAATATTGTGTTCTCAAAGAGGCAGTCTTAGCCAAAACTGCACAGCACACCTTCTGATCTTCAGCCAATTTCAAAATTTTCTCATCAGCCTTCTTCTGCTCCAAAATCGCCCTCTCATTCTGCAGATAAAGAATTTTCAGAAAAAATTGCCAAATTAGGCATCAGAATTACATCTAAGGACCTGGAATGCTAAGTAACCTATATTATCAGGAAAAAGGTATGCAAGCAAACTGGACACATAAAGGCGGAGATGACAACACTGAATATGCTCAAGTAAGTCAAATTCCATTCGATTGGATAAAATTATGTTAGATATCCTTAAAACGAAAATTTCAGTATTTTAGACACTCAAGAGTATCATCTCCAATTTCCTTCTTGCAAAGCACCACTTGCAAAACAATGCACTTCTCTGTGAGCCTCTTTTCTTTTCATATCCAACAGACAGACAGCAAGCTAAAGCAGGAAGCTTATGACAGCATCTTAGAAAGATATTACCATCTCCTTTTGATGGTCAAGCTTTCTTTGCTCACTCTCATTTAGTGCTTCACGTTCTCTCAATTCTTGTTCTCGTAGCATCAATTCTTTTTTTTGAGCTTTGAGCTGCATTCGACTTTTCTCATGCTCACGTATGGAATCCCGGAGCTGATTGAATGCTTTACGCCGCATCACCTCCATCTCTAGTACACAAATTAAATGACATTAGAGGAGAAAATAAACAACAGAATGAGGCACAACTTCATGATATGATTAACAAATTTCGCACAGGTGTATCTTTAGTATTCTGTTAAAGTAAAGCAATAAAATAGTAAAAAGATATTGTATGACTAGTTTACAGCAAATAGGCAAAAGAAAACTACACCTTCATTGTAGTTTTGAACCATCTCCTCCTTTTGACTCATCACATTATCCATAAAAACTTCAGTTCTGCTTATTTTTCTCTTCATCTCTTCACATGCCTTGTTCTTCATCTCTAACTCATTGGTCAAGTTGCATAGTAGACTAGAATCTTTCCTTTTATTCTCTGCTTGTATTTCAGAAACTGTCTTTAGATCTCCATGTTTGCGGAGATGTTTACCAATGAGAGCCTCAGAGTAGTAATCTTCATCACGCGCAATCCAAGCATATAATTTATCATCCCGATGTCTTACTAAATTCCAATCTCTCTTCCCATGTTTATCCAATTCAAATGCTTTACCAAATGCCATAGCATTCATGAATCCCGACCAATCCCCTTTAAATTCAACTATGGCATAGCCAGTGTGACCCCGGAAATTCCATAAAGGATGAACCTTCACTGGATTAAACCCTTTGGCAATCCACTCCTTTTTTAGATTTGTTCCACTTTTACCTACATACCTACCTCCCTTATTTTCAACCGGGATATTGGCTACTACTCCCATCCAGGGAAAAACTATGGGATCNAGGATCGTCCTTGGCCTCATTGATAAATGGCTCATTAGATGCTAGGACAGGTTGGGGTGGCATATCATCTTTAGTACTTCTGAGAGGAGGTTGGGATGCCACTGTGTTCTCTGCATTTAGTTTTTCCCTTCTCGGGCGCTCTTCAGCACAATCAACAGGTTTATCTACTGCTTCACTTGTCCTAACAGAAGACGAATAAAATTTTCCTCCGCTTTTGTACTGCTCAGTGATGTGAGATGGCTCTACTGGATCACTCTTAGCATCTCGAGAACTCTTCCCTGATGGCTCAAAACTTTTCCTTCGACTTGATTGGGATACCTTCTTGTCTGCATCGACGTACCTATCCAAGTACTTGAGCAATCCCAAATGTCTAGCTATGTCTCTAAAACTAGCACTCTTTGAATCTCTACCAATGCGGGAAGAATGCCTTAGAAGATCTTGCAAATCATATTCTTTACTAGAATTATCACAGTATGGACATCTGAAATATTTTCCAGAACGTCTAATTTTGACTATTTCATCTCTTAAATCTTTATAGTATTTATACTTCAACTCTTCCAACTCTGAATTAGCACTCTCACTTTTCTCCGATCTTCTACGAGACATCTTCAACCTGTAATTACGTTAAAAGCTAAGGATCAGTTTGTGTTTTGTTAATAACCAAACTAAACTTGACTTAACCAAAAATACTTAACAAAGGAAATTGAAATGCAGTCGGAACAGATATGCTTCTAACACAATGACAAGTAAGACGGGTAACATAGAAGGCTCAATTTTTAAATCCAGCTGCTTGGATTCATCTTCCCACTAACAAAATGATATTGCTACCACTTGCATTGCTGCATCAAGTGGTATCAGCAACTACTGGTCATTCAGAATGAAAAATGGAAGAGCGGAGAATTGAATATTGAGCAAGAAACTTCCTCACTTTCTGATGCAAGCCTCTTCTTAAGCACAACTCACCCAAAATTGTATTTCCCCAAACTGCGGATAAATATCTCTCTTTCATATATTGATGAAGCCAACCTCAAAGAAACCATCTAAGTTTACATTAGCTACTCCTGCAGCTCCAATAGAACTAATATATTTTTTCCAAAAAGTTCAATAGAAGTAATACAGCCCACACAAATGCACTCAACTTAGTTATCGTATACCACAGATATATTCCTTGAGTTACATGCTATATTATGTGTAAACATTGGCCTGCCAATCTAGTTACAATGCCCAATGAGCAGAGATTCAATTAATCAACCTGTTTCTAGTCTCTACAAAAATTTCGACCCCAAAAGCTAGAACACGAAAATGAGGATAGTCTACGGGACAAGAAATGCTGGAAAGAGCAATTAACCAATTTACATGGGTCCTATTTTCACCTAGGGTCCAATGTAATCACAGCATTAAAGACATACATCCACGCCGATGAATAGAGCCAATATTTTCTTTGATTTGCTGCTTTTCACATTTTCAATCAAAGACTAATCCGGGATCTAAAGGCAGTAGATGGACCATTTACTACACACACACACACACACACACAGAGAGAGAGAGAGAGAGATATTAAAATGTATTTCTAAAATTTTCTGGAACCGCCATTCACAACACACGCGCACACACACATTTTAAAATGTTTTTCTAAAATTTTCTCTTCTTTTTTTCATCTTTTTCTAGAATTTTCCGGAACCACCATTTACTACACACCCACACCCACACATTTGTAAATGTTTTTTCTAAACTTTTTAGAACCACCGTTTACTACACACACACACACATTTTGAGAAAAAATTCAAAAATTTTCTGGAATCTCCCCTGTTCTCAACAACATGATATCTATTTTCTCCTACACTGATCGAGAAGCCCCTTTGTATTAAGTTTTTCCCAACAAAACAGGAAATATAAAAATTATCCCATTTTATATCAGCAGAAATCAAACTTAAAAATAGCAGAAAGCTCTATAGTGAATCATCCATCATAATGACCCTAAAATCCCAAAACCCGCAGCCACGTGAAGGTTGTAATAGTGAGTGCACAAACCCTAGGATGTTTCGAGAAGAAATAAATACTAGTAAAATGGTAAGACATGAACGTATATTACACATGCTATTGGTACGTTGTAAAAGCATATTAAGTTATTAACTGTGTCTATAAGCTTATTATGTGAAAACGAAAAAGAAGAGTTCATATACCTCGATCAGAAAATCGAAATCTTCAAAATAAGAATTTCCTAAACATTTTGCAAGGGCTTTGAAACTTCAATACTGTATTTTGAGTTGTACTGTTTCTTTTGATAATATCAGAAGCAAGAAAAAAGGGGGGGGGGGNGAGAAGGGAGAGAGATTTTTGGTTCACGCGGTAGACATGAAGAAGGAAGAACGGAAAAATGATCAGGGGAAAATAAAAGGGTGAACCACTTTCTCTGGTGTTATACTCTGTGTTTTTGGAAAACTTTTTTTTTTTCCGGTGTTTTTGGTAAACTGAAATGGACAGAATATTTTTTATGGACAGATTTTTTTTTTTTTTTTTTTTTTTTTTTTTTAGCCATTAAAAAGATAGAAAAGCTAAAATCTAATGAACTAGCTATTACAACATAATAAGTTGAATGCTTCCTTCTCCTTTATGTGAATTCAATTATCATTGGCAAATACCAACACCTATCAAGCTCTCACTAGGCGCCAGGGTATACTATTCATATGCTAAAATGAATTCCAAACATCTCCACCACAGAGTTGAAGCCAGCATAGTCTTCCAAGTGTAGCTACTATATAATCTCCATATGCAGTGGACTGATTTTGTCCAAGTATTAATCATGTGCTCACTCATCAAAATTAATGTGTAGAAGAGGAGCCTTGCTTTAGGCAGGCTTTGCAAGGCAAAAGCCAGGCTTGAGCTGGCTTTAGGCAGGCTTTGCAGGGCAAAAGCCAGGCATGAGTTGGCGTTAGGCCGGCTTTGCAAGGCAAGAGCCAGGAATGAGCTGGCTTTAAGCAGGCTTTGCAAGGCAAAGGCCAGGCTTTGAAACTGTGCCTTTTTATGATCTTGTAAGCTCAGATCCTTCTAAACATTGCTAAACCATCCTCAGATTGAGCATGAAAGCATGCTAATACCACTGAGAAATGATTCAACAATCTCCAGAAATACCATATGATGGGTTCAGCATTTTCCTTAGCATTTAGACATATCAGAAGTAGGATAAATTGTACCATCCCACACATGCTTATCACATTTTTCTGTACACTATCAAAGCACACCCAGAATGAGCATGGAACCATGCTAATACCATTGGAAAGTACCTTAATAGCATACTGAATGAGACAAAGAAACATGCAGGTTTGTGCAAAGTCCAATCCCGTGAAACCATCAGTCTGGGGTTCTTCTCTTTGCTATCCTAACCCTAAGGTTAGGTGATTGGGATTTGTCTAGATTGATCAACCTCTCCCCTGCACTAGGCAGTTCAGAGAATGAATGAAACTCAGACGTACCTCTTGCAAATTCTGTAATAGCTCCAACTGCCTGAAATACTCCATTAGCAACCTTTGAATGCATGTAGTATGAACTCTTATCTTTGTTGATCATCTGACCTGATATCTTCTCATAGTTCCCCAACACTGCCATAATCTTGCTCAAGGAGGGAGGATGAGCAGATGTAAAGATTATCGTATCATTAGCATATGCCAAGTGGTTTAAAGGATCAGACCACTTAGGCATTCTAAATCCCACAAATGACTTGTCTTCAAAGAGCTTATTCAACGACATGGAAAGTACCTCAGCTGACAGAATGAACAATGCTGGAGATAGGGGATCCCTTTGTTTCACACCCCTTGTAGACTTAAACAACCCCGAGGACTGCCCATTCACCAATACTGAATACCAGTTATTTGACATCAAGTTCCATACCATATTGATGAAGAGCTCAGAAAATCCTATCTTCCTTAGCACATACAATAAGTACTTCCATGAAATCCTATCATAGGCCTTAGCCATATCAAGCTTGATCACCACATTAGCTGGTTTTCCCCTTAACCTTATGTCAGTGACAATTTCTTGAGTCAATAAGATGTTCAAAAATATACTCCTACCCTTTACAAATCCGGATTGATTAGGAGATATTAGAGATGGCAAAAAACTCTCCAATCTGTCATGTAACACCCTAGACAAGACCTTGTTAATGAAGTTTCTCAAACTAATAGGTCTTAAGTCAAAGAAGGTCTCAACTCTAGGTTTCTTGGGCAGCAACACTAGATTGGTGTAAGTGATGGATTTAGGCAATGCAGCTCCTCCATAGAAGTGTAGCACCATGTTGTGTATATCAGCACCAATAACATCCCAGCATGTTTGATAAAACAGGCCAGTGAATCCATCAGGACCACTAACACTCTCCCCACTAAGCTCAAAAACTGCTGCCCTTACTTCTTCAATTGTTGGCAATCTGCTAAGTTCCAAATTTTTATCCATAGTGACCATTGAAGGTACATTATTGAGCAAGGAAAATTCAGAAGCATCACCTTCATTTGTGAACTGTTTTTGATAGAAGTCCACTGCAGCTATAGCCAATTGCTCCTGGTCTTCAATCCATACCCCACTGCCATTTTTAATCCTCTTCAGTTGCAATTTCTTTCTTTTGCCATTGACATGATTGTGAAAGAAACTTGTATTCCTATCTCCTTCAGCAAACCAAGTCATCCCAGCTCTTTGCTTCCAATACTGCTCCTCAATACTCAAGTATTTCTTCAATTCAGATTGAGCCTTTTGAAGCACAATCCTATTCTCAGTTGTAGGCTCTTCTCCAAACAACATCTCCTTCACCCTAACAATGTCCTCCAAAATAGCCAATTGCTTGAAGATATCATCAAATGTTTCCCTACTACATTTTGAAAGTGCTGCCTTCACCCTTTTGATATTCTGCTTGAACATCAAAAATGGATCCCCTATGAAATCAACTTCCCAATTCTGCCTCACCACATCCATAAATGTAGCATGCTTTGTCCCAAAGTTCAAGAACCTGAAAGGCTTGACAAAATTGGTTGTCTGCACCCCACATGTCATTAGCAATGTTGCATGATCTGATCCAGTTCTGATTAGATGCTCAACTTCAATAGTTGGCAACATGTTCTGAAATGGCAAATTCACAAAAATCCTATCCAATCTCTTGAATAAACACTCAGCATTGGATCTCCCATTCCACCATGTAAATGGACTTCCTTTGTACCCTTGCTCAAACAAACCACAAGAGTTTACACAAAATGCAAAATCCTCATATTCATGAGGGTATAATGTAAGTCCCCCTATTTTCTCATCTTCATGCAATACCATATTGAAATCCCCTCCTACCAACCATGGTAATTCCATAACACTTGCTAAGTAATACAAGTGATCCAAAAATTCCAACCTCTCAATTGCTAAACATTTTGCATAAACAAATGTCATCATCATGTGCTGCCCTAGGTCATGGTGAAACACTCTCACAGTCACATGTTGCTCAGTATCCTCCACTAATTCCCATTCCACCAATGCATCGAAGAACAACCATATTTGCCCATTAATATTTGCATAAGCAGTCTCCATATTCAACCTCCTTCTATATCTATCAATGAGTCCCTTCTTTTGAAAAGGCT